GTGGCGTGTGCCTGTAATTCCAGCTACTCAGGAGGCTGAGGCAGGAGAATTGCCTGAACCCAGGAGGCGGAGGTTGCGGTGAGCTGAGATCGCGCCATTGCACTTCAGCCTGGGTAACCAGCGAAACTGTCTCAAAACAAAAAAAAATCTTGTAATATTATTTAATATCACTTAATTCTCACAAAAACCTTATAAGGAATGTTTATACACTGTTGGTGGAAATGTAAACAGTTCAGCTACTGTGGAAAGCAGTTTGAAGATTTTCCAAAGAACATACAACAGAACTACCATTCAACCCAGCAATCCCGTTACTGGGTATATCCAAAAGAAAACAATTTGTTCTACCAAAAAGACATGCACCCACATGTTCATTGCAGCACTATTCACAGTAGCAAAAACATGGAATCAACCTAGACGCCCATCACTGGTGGATTGGATGAAGAAAATGTGGCACATATACATCATGGAATATTATGTAGCCATAAAAAAGAATGAAATCATATCCTTTGCAGCAACATAGGTGCAGCTGGAGGTCATTATCCTAAGCAAATTAATGCAGGAACAGAACACCAAGTAATACATGTTATCACTTAAAAGTGGGAGCTCAACATTGTGTACTCGTGGACATAAAGATGGCAACACAAGTTACTGGAGACTACTGGAAGGGATATGGAGAGAAGGGGACGAAGGCTGAAAAACTGACCATTGAGTACTATGCTCAGTACGTGGGTGATGGAATCATTCATACCCCAAACCTCAGCAACATGCAATATACCCCAGTAGCAAACCTGCACATGTACCCTTGAATCTAAAATAAAAGTTGGAAATAAAATAAAAAATTTGAAACCCTGTATGGTGAGTATTATGGATGAAGAATCGAAGACTTCAGGGCTGAGTCATTTGCCCATTGTTCCATATGTAGCCAGGCCTTGGAAATGAATTCATCTTTCTGACTCCAAAGACCAGGCTCTTCACCCCTTCCTGAGATTATTTTTCAAAAGATTAGCTAGATTTTTGAGCCTATGAACCTGGGAGGCTGGGGTACCGTGAACAGTTAGAAAGAATCAGAAAGAGATGTGAGATGGGATATGACAATTAGCTCCATTTTAGATATGGCGAGTTTGAAGTTGTGCGGGTCATTGGACATCCTAGTGATGGATAACAGTAACTTGCACATTTCACTAGGGAAAGGTGGATTTGATCAAAAGGTAACAGGTGAAGACGAAAACCAGGAAGCTTTCCATTGCAGGCTGATGGGTCAGTTGGACTGTATTTGTCTCCTTACTGATGATTCTGAGAAAACAGATCTACTTTAATAATGCAGATAATTTGCTGAAAGTTCATTTATTGTTACTATCACTTGGCTTCCATGAAATGGCAAACTATATTATCTTCCTTCTAAAGACAAACACAGGGGCCAGGGTGCGGTGGCTCTTGCCTGTGATCCCAGTGCTTTGGGAGGCCAAGGCAGGAGGATCCTTTGAGACCAGGAGTTTGAAATGGGCCTCAGCAACATTGTGAGCCCTGTCTCTACAAACAATCTAAAAATTAGCAGGGCATGGTAGTGTGCACTTGTAGTGCTACTGAGGAGGCTAAGGTGGGAGAATTGCTTGAACCCAGGAATTCAAGGTTACAGTAAGCCAAGATCATGCCACTGTACTTCAGCCTGGGTGACAGAGTGATATCCTGTCTCTAAAAAAGAATAAATAAATAAATAAATAAATAAGCAAATGTAGAGATGGAAGCATCCAGGACACAAATGCAAAATTCAGCTTTTAAATCCTCCACATTCAGGGAGCTCAGAGAGAGGCCCAAAAGTCCACAAGAGGAGGGAAGAAGAGAGAACAAGGCCAGGTATTTATCTTCCTTGGGGCTGTTACAGCACATGGCCTCAGAACGATAAAGCCTTGTGGGAAGCGAAATAGGCAGCTATTTGTTACTTAGCTGGTGGATGCCAGCTAATCCCACAGCAGCCGGGTGGAATGAGGACGGGGCTCACCCCTGCCTCTGTCATTCACTAGCTGTCTGACCTTGGACTTAATACCACCCCTTAGAGCCTCAGTCCTTTCACCTGTGAAATGTGGAAAATGATGCCTCACACATGTTGTTTGGAGAATTAAATAAGAGACCACATGTAACTGACATTCATTCCTCCCTCCTGCCAGTGTTCACTGTCACCTGCTATCACTAGTGACTTTCACAGTGCCTATGTAGGGACTTTAATAGATGTTGGTGTCCTTCTCAATCCTAGGCTGCATTTGGGTTTGGAGTAGATTTTTATGGCTACCTCTTAACTGGAATGAAGCTGGTGTTCCAGAGATGAGCCTCTCACCAGTTGCTCTGGGAAGCTCGAGGTCCCTCCTTTTTATTCTTGTTCCAGAAGCCTTGGTTCTGTGCTTGGGTGTCAAGGAGCTTCTCTGATTGCAAAGTCAATGGGAAGCTAATGAAATTAAGGGAGGGTGTGGAATAATAAGAGAGTAGCACATTCTTCTTTGTTTTTTAGATGAGGTCTCGCTCTGTCATCCAGGCTGGAGTGCAATGACATGATCTTTGCTCACTGCTGCATCAAACTCCTAGGTTCAAGCAATCTTCCCACCTAAGTTTCTCAAGTAGCTGGGACTACAGGGTCATGCCGCCATGTCTGGCTAATTTTTGCATTTTTTTCGTAGAGACGGGATCTTGTTATGTTGCTCAGGCTGGTCTCGAACTCTTGGCCTTAAGTGATTCTCCCATCTCAGCCTCTCAAAGTGCTGAGATTGCAGGCATGAGCCACTGCACCCAACCTAGGGTAGCGCATTCTGACCCACTGAGTCACACAGTATCAGAGCCACAACCCCTCATCTCTCATTATGTACAGGAGGAAATTGATACCCAGGGAGGGGCCTCACTTGCCTGGAGCCACACTGTAAGTCAGTGATAGCTGCTGACATTAGGGTAAGATTTGAGAATTTCCAGTCCAGAGTATATCCTCTTTCCTCACAGAAGAAGCTTTTACGGTCAATAAACTCAAAAGCAAAATTTACCAGACATCACATACAGAGGATGATTGAAAACACAATGACATTGTCAATCAACTGTCTCCTTTGTCATGCACTACGGCACCCTCTGCACAAAAGGCCTCTTGGTTGGGAAGGCACGCCCTCCCCAAAGACACCAGGAAAGAACTGGAATCAAGGAACAATGCCATTTAAGTGGATTCGTTCATTCACGCAGCTACTCATTCTCCGAAATGTTTACTGAGCACATGTTATGTTATGTGAACAATGCTAAGTGCTGAATAATGTGTATTTGTCTGACTTCTTTTCCTAGGCAAGAAGGAAGATCTGAAATTCCACACCTGGGCTTGGTTTCCAAGACCTGAGGTTCGACTTAGAGTTGCTGTGGTGCTGGCCCTGGGCTGTGGGAGCAGGTTTAGGAAACCAGGAGGTTGTTTGTGGGGGAGGGCAGGATGCCAGAGAAGTCAGAAAGATCCAATTCAGGGAAGCAGAGGGAGGGAAGGGCCATGCTTGGAGCTGAGAGTCAGCCACGGGGGGTCAGCAGGTGTAGCATGGGTTCAGGCGGCCCAGAAAGTCTCCCAGAGGTCCCCAGAGAGGCCCTGAAGGAGAGCAGACGGATGGGAGGGAAGGGCCAAGGGAGGCACGTGGCTTCGATGACATTTATCACTGCTAATGAGTGAACTAGTTACTTTCGTATGGTTTAGACACCTGGTGATGGTTGTTGACTGTTCTCTTTAAAGGGAATGAGGGCAGGAGGCGCTAAGCTGAGGGATACCTTAGACCCAATCCTTTTCTATCTGTGTCTTCACATCATTCACAGGGCAACACCCTGCCATTGGTGACACCTTTTGAGACAGGAATAATACAGGGTGGTCTCAGGAGAACAGAAAATTCCAGGCAGGAGTTTCACATGACTAGCAAAAGGACACTGTTAAACTAGCCATAGAGGCTGTCTGTTGGCTGACAAGACCCTGGAGTGTGGACCAAGCTGGCTAAGACTGACTGCATACGACATGGTGCTGGATCTGACCTAGATTTTACCTAGAATCTCCTTATTCACTCATTAACGTACTAAACACACACCCACCAGTGCCATGACAGTTCCGAGGCCAGCTATATTTGGTATAAAAATGGGTATCATGACAGTTTTGAGAGATCACCTTCTTTTTCCCAGGGATCTTCATGAATATTCCACCCCTTGGTTAAAGCAACCTATAGAGTTCCCTGGGAACGGTGGCTCATGCTAGCACTTTGGGAGGCTGAGGAGGGCAGATTGCCTAAGGTCAGGAGTTGGAGACCAGCCTGGCCAACATGGTGAAACCCCATCTCAACTAAAAATACAAAAATTAACTGGATGTGGTGGTGTGCACCTGTAGTTCCAGCTACTTGAGAGGCTGAGGCAGGAAAATCACTTGAACCTAGGAGGTGGAGGTTGCAGTGAGCTGAGATAATGCCACTGCACTCCAGCCTGGGCTACAAGAGTAAAACTCTGTCTCAAAAATGAATAAATAAAAAGAAACCCATAGAATAGAGGTAGCAGCCCCAAACACCATTGTGTGTCTCTCTATTGGGTATACCTGCACCCCTTTTTCTTGAGTATGTACTTTTCCTTTTGCAATAGATGTCCATACTTTCACTATTTTCTGACTCGCCCTTGAAGTCCTTCTCGTGATGGTGTCAAGAGCCTGAACACAAGCTGGGGTCCAGGTCCCACTGGCATTTGGGGACCTCCTCCAGCCCACTGGCATCACTTTGATTAACATTCACCCTCTCCCCACACACACATCAAGGAGGGGAGAGAAGGGGAGGGAGTGATGGCAGCAAATGCTCACAACCAGAATCTTGGGTGGGGATGCATCAGAGTTGCAAAAAGTCTTCTAGAAATTCTGCTACCATGCCCCTCCACCTCCTCGAGAATGTGCCTTTGCTTGTTGAGAATCACAGCTGTGCACATAAAGAGGGCACCGGAAGCACAGGGGCACAGAGGGAGTCAGTAACCACGTTTATTGAACACACAGTGCGGAGTTCTGGGCGAAACACTGGAAGGAAATACAGTGGAGGTTCAGCAGCCATTGTCGGCCTCATGAAGGTTACGTTTTATTTGAACGATGGGGAAGGTTACATTTTATTTGAGCATTTTATTTGAACGTTTTATTTGACACCAGTTAAGCATACATAGACGTGCGTGACCAAGCCACAGAAATACATACATACATGCTTCTTCACTACTATAGACCTATGATGCGAGATTCCCACAGGAGCTGGGGTATAGAAAGCCAGTGAGACACACAGCTTAACTGAAGAGCAAAGATACTAGTCTCCATTCCAGGATTCAAGTTCTGCCGGGCTGCTCTGGGGATGAGTGGGAGCTACCAGAAGACACTAGAAAATACCGGAGAATGATGATGAATGTGTTTTCTTAGCTCTATTAGCCACTGTATTTCAAACTCAAAGTAGCATTCTACTTTAGCATAATATGAAGGCAGTTAAATAGAGTTCTAGAATAGAATAGTTACCAGTACTAATAGAATAGAAATTACTAGAATATTTTTTTTTTAAAAAGAGTAAAATCAGATCTTCTCAAAGGACAGACACAAATTCTAAAAGTTAATACCTTTTAAAATTCTTTTTAAACAAGCTTCTATATGTGAAAGACTTCCCAATAAATTAGGGGAACAGGCATCTTACTGCTATCTGGAAAATTGTTTATATTTTATGTGCTTTTAACATTTTTAAATTTTTTATGTGCTTTAAAAATATTTTAAGGTAGGGTTGCCAGATAAAATACAGGATGCATATTAGCACATGAGACGTGGTCATCCTAAAAACTATTCATTGCTAATCTGAAATTGGAATTTAGCAGCTATTTTTTAGTTTAACATGCCTTTGAAACTTCCAGAACTTCTCAGTAATGGGGGGCCTAATTTATCTTCATTTATATGCTAACACTGTCAGAAAGGAAGACTTACTCCTCCAGCAGGAAAGCTGTGGCTAATGTAGGACTTATTCAAACATCAGAGACATTTTTATTTCTTACATACTTTATCATTGCCATTTTAGCAGTGCGCATTTGAGTCGGCTGAATTTTTACCTTGAAACCTTTGACTGAGGTGGCTAGTGACAGATGGTAAAATTAGATTGCAGTCGGAGGAACAGTCCAGCTTGAAAGATCTCCTGTACTAGTCACAAACTCAAGAATTTCTTCTGTTAGCACCTGACAATCCCCCCTCCAAATTCCAGGCAGCAGTTTCGCATGACTAGTAAAATGAAACTGTTGAAATAGTCATAGAGGCTATGGGCTGATAAGGCCCTGAAAACCAGGGTGTGGACCACGCTGGCTAAGACCCACTGCATCCAACATGGTGCTGGATCTGACCTAGATCCTCCAAAAACGTGACACTCATGTCTTGTTCCATTAAACATCTGTGATGCTTTTCATCATCACTGCTTGTCACTCTTTCCTTTTCCCCTTTCCACACTGATTTTTTTTGATAACTGAAATCCTGTGTGCTACACAGAGCATCAGGTTGGAATCAGTGGTTGGCCATGACCCCATGGAAACAAGAAAAAGCAAAGTTCACTTCTCGGATACCTAGAGGCATGAAACTGTGAACAGTGGGTTTTTCTGGTTTGTTTCCTGTTAGCTTCCCACACTAGCAGGCAAACTTGCTTCTGTAAAATATGCTCATGTTAATTTGTTAAGCAGACAGGACAATGTTGCTCTAAAAAAAATTAAGAAAGAAGTGTTGGTAGACTGAATTGATACATACTGTTCTAGAAATGCACTTCCTGGTATCTGAATGTACAGCTTATATCTTATTTGAGATTTCTAAGTCAGAGGAGAGATATTTCAACATTAATACTGCTTTGAACATTAATTCTGCTAAGAAACGACGTTCACATGAAACTTTAACTGTCATGAAGGAATGTAAAAGTACAATACTAGCTGAATTCTTGTATCTAACTACTATTCTTTTTTTTAAAAAACACCAAAGGGTATACTTATATGTAAAGAACATATTTTGTGTTTGGTTTACATGTATACATACAATTAACCAGTTATTAGCAAGTGTATAGATTGCATTTAAAGGCATAGGCAGCTTTGACATTCAAAAGCTATTTGTTAACTGAGTCCAAGTATGCCAGTTTTAATTCTGGGCCTGACTATACGTATTTCTACATTTGGTCAGGTACATGTAACTTACAATGCTCCTTTGTTCCTGGAGATCTTTTCTGGGAAAAAGGAAGTGTAGATGAATGTAAAAAATTGAGTTGAGGCAAAGAAGCCAGGAGGTTTAATATCATCATACAAAGGAGAAATTAAGTAATATATATCATTAAAATAGAAAAAAAAATCCCATGTACCTTCTGACACTTAACATTTCTTATAGTAAGATAGCATTCCATCCAGCTATTGGCCATGTACTCTTTTCTCTGTAGAAATGCTCAATTCAATTCTGGGTGTAGTGGCTCATGCCTATAATTCCAGCACTTTGAGAGGCCAGGTGGGAGGATTACTTGAGCCCTGGAGTTTGAATCCAATCTGGGCAACATGGTGAAACCCCAACTCTACAAAAAAAAAAAAAAAAAAAAATACAAAAGTTAGCCAGGCATGGCAGCACATGCCTGTAGTCCCAACTACTATGGAGGCAGAGGTGGGAGGATCACCTGAGCCCACGAGGCAGAGTTTGCAATAAGCTGAGGCGGTCCCACTGCACTTCAGCCTGGGTGGCAGAGCCAGCCCAGCCTCAAAAGAAAAGAAATACTAAGTTCACAATTCCATCTTTCAGACATTTCTTATGCTATTCTGATGTCAACTAGCTTATGACTCTGAATGTTTTTGGCCAACATCAAGATGAAGAAATCAGGCTGCCGTCTTACCCAGGACAAAATGGCCAGAGAGGGTTTGCTTCGTGTTCTCTTTGCGGTTACAATGAGGTGGGCGGCTACGGCGGCTACAGGAAAGAGTGACCGGCTCCCTGCAGGCAGAGCAACCTCCATCATTCCGCATGAATGGAAAAAGCAGAGCATGGAAATGTGTCACAGGAGGAGTGAGAGCCCACCTCGGATGTTCTAGAAGGTTTTGAAGCTCAGCAGGCCCTCATCTCCATTTTGAACACGTGGTTGGCAACTCCGCGTGCAGTCTGAGCCCTGCTGGGCTCCTGTCCCTGGCTGCCAAGGTTTCTCTGATGGTGAGTGTTACTGAACATTTCTTGCTTTGAACTACCTAGAAACCAAGTCACAGCCCCACTGGAGCAGTGCTCAGGAATCCAGATGAAGGATGAAAAGCAAACTCTGAAGAGTTCCTGCTGGAGATGGAGCCTTCTTTCTCCATCACCTCTGCTTCCATCTCTTCCCGATCTCTTCTTCCGTTCTTCCTCCTCCGCGTCCTCCCCTCCTTCCTTCTGTGGTGGGGGGTCAGGGACAGCTCACTGGGGTGGCGCCGAGGCGCTCATATGGCTGTAGGAGAACCTGGACAGAGAGGCCCCTGTGGTCCTGCCTTCCTCCTCCTCCCCCACCTCTCCCCTCACCCCTGGGGGACCAGGATTGGGGCAGCAGGGGAAGGTGGCCATGAAGCCGAGGCGGAAGCGTTTGTTCATGAAGCAGTAGATGATGGGGTTGACGCAGGAGGAGGTGTAGGACAGGAGGAGGATGAAGGAAATGGGGGTCCCTGAAAGGCGGCGCTCCGCAGAGGCGGTGTCGTAGGCCCGCCAGGCGTTGGCGCTGAAGATGGGCATCCAGCACAGGAAGAAGAGGACCACGATGACAATGAGCATGCGGATCACCCGCTTCTTGGCCATCAGGTTGGCCGCGGAGCTGCTGCTCCGGATGCGGCTGGCCCTGCTGCTGCTGCTGCTGGTGGACAGCTGCCGGAGCTCCAGCTTCCTCGAAGGCCTGGACTTCTGCAGGTAGCACCCATCGCTGTCCTCATATCTGCCGCTGCTACTGGTGCTGGGTTTCCTTTCTGGGTGGGCAAGAGACATCACTCATTGTTGGGAATGGGTCATCCCAGGTAGAAGGCAGGGAGCCCCCACTTCCCTCCATCAAGAAGGCCAAACCAAACCAGAACTGAAAAACGGCAGACGACCTGGCTTTACACTTTCGTGGGTAAGCGCTGGTCTATACAAGTTCTTCCTTTCAATAAAAAGCTACTTAAAATGGATAGAATGTATCATGAAAATATATTAGGCATGTAGGTTACAAGAAAAAAAATTATTAAAGAATGACAATTCAGCCAGGGGCGGTGGCTCACGCCTGTAATCCCAGCACTTTGGGAGGCTGAGATGGGTGGATCACCTGAGGTGGGGAATTCAAGACCAGCCTGCCCAACATGGTGAAACCCCAGCTCTGCTAAAAATACAACGAATAGCCAGGTGTGGTGGCAGGTGCCTGTCATGGCAGCTACTCAGGAGGCTGAGGCAGGAGAATGGCTTGAACCCGGGAGATGGAGGTTGCAGTGAGCCGAGATCGTGCTGCTGCACTCCAGCCTGGGCGACACAGCAACACTCTGTCTCTCAAAAAGTAAAAAATAAAAAAAATAAGAATACTTTAAAAATCTTCCAATAAAATGTACACTCTGGGTATATCTATTTAAATGATAGAAAACAAGCTTTTGTGCTCGTTTGGCAGAAACACACAGCTACAAGATAGTTACCTTTAGCAGATTTCTTCTGGCTAGCCTCAAATTTTATTCCCTGGTAGAGTTCCAAAGAGATTAAGCCATATGCCACCATCATCACAATTCCGGGAATGAGAAAGAGGATGAGTAACAGGAACGTGTGCCTAATGAAATCAAAAGAAATCCAATAACCAGCAACTCTAGGCCTTCAAACTAAAATGGGAAGGAATGAATAGGGTTTATGTTTATTTTTACTGGCCGGGGCAAACACATTAATTACTAGTATTTAATATCCTTGGCAACTTCACGTCTGGTGAGTAAGAGTCAGTCATTATAAGTTGTTTACTTCTTTTCTTTTTATAGATGAAGTCTCTGATGAAGAACTAGGTTAATTGGAAAAGTTTGGTGTAATACTGTGCTTGAAACAAGTCTATGTATTAAAAAGAACGTAAGCTTTAAAAAATGAAGAGAGTATTTGAATAGCATTTCAATAAAGCTGTTTTAAAAAACCTTAAAAACAAGAGTTTACATTCATTGAGGATTTCTATGTGCTACATACTGGGCATTTGACATATATCATTACATTTAACTCCTATAATAGCTATTGAGGTAGGTGCTATTGTCTTAATACTTAGAGCAGAGAGGAGGAAACTGAGACTTAAAGAGATTAAATAATTTGTCCAAAGTTGCACAGCTGGTAGCAGATGCGGAATGTGAGCCCCCAGAATATGATTCCAGAACCTAGAAGCTATGCTTTTAAGCATCACAGTATGCCATTTGCCAAACAACAGAATAATCAAATACTTAGGCAGGGATGACGGAAAACTGTCTGTGTCTTACAAAACATGCCATTCTAGCTGTTTCTGACCCATAAGCAGCTCAGACATTTACATGGGCATCCATTCTCCATGATCCCATGAAGCTGGCACAGTGGCATAGTCATTCTTGTGCCTGGCGGGGTAGAGCTATGCTTTCTCTAAACATCCTTGATTCCTGAGGAATTGCAGCCTCCTCCTTTATGAGTCTGGCCCCTAAATCACTTCTGCAGTCTGGCATGTGTGAGGTTACATGATTAGGCCATAAAATTGTCAGAGGCTCATGGTGGCTGGGCCATTTCTCATTTCAATTTGACATGTTTTGATAAGATTGCTTTTCAAGCCTTGGAACTATCCCTCTCATTTGCAATGTAATTCCTTTGTGTGGGTGCTACTTGGTTGAAATGAAAGAAGGAAAGCAAAGAAAGCAGAGATGATCTCAGTTTGGGGCTATTACTGAATGTCTAGTTCCCTGCTTCGAAAACATCCTTGGACTTGGTAAATATAATACCCTGCGATTTGTGTAGCCTTTTTTATAATGACATTTTTATGCACATATTCTCCTTTGTATCTTACAGCCACCCAATGAGGTAGATGTTTAAAATATCCATATTTTTGACTCCTTATAGAAATAAGGAACCTGATGTTGAGAGAGGTTATGTGAACTGGACCAAGGCCGCCAGTTAGTAGGGCAGAGGAACCAGCATTAGAATCTTGCCTTTTCATTTTTGGTAAAATGCTCTGGGTAAGTGGCATAGCTGCAGCTCTAAGAAAACTCATGTGGGATTTGAGACTCACTCCCTGCTCTGTTTTAATTCTTTAGACATAGAAAATCATGGCCAGGTGCAGTGGCTCGTGCCTGTAATCTCAGCACTTGGGGAGACCAAGGTGGGAGGATCACTTGAGTCTTAGAATTCAAGACCAACCTAGGCAATAGAGTGAGACCCAGCCTCTGTTTTAAAGTAAACGTTTTATTTAAAAAAGCAAGAAAAGCATAGCTCTACAATTCATCTAGCCTAACCCGCCACTCAACATTGAGAAGCATACTGCATAATGATTAAGCACAGAGGCTCTGCCCCTTCCTTAGGTTTGCGAATTGGGAAACTTAACCTTTCCAAGCCTCAGTTTCTTCCACTGCAAAATGGGCACAGTACTAATAATACCTACCCTAGAGTGTTTCCAGAGGACTGATTGACTTAATATATGCATGGCATTTAAAACAGAACTTGCTAAAAGTTTGCTATCTCAATGGTCCTAGAACAAGGCTAGAATGACCTTCTCAGAAAGTCTCCAGAAACTGATCCCCCAACCACTCTGGGCAACACATCTCAGTTTTTCATAATATTGGAAAACTATGTCAAGTTGTATTTTTAAAATAAACACAATGCAACCTTACCAGGACTGCTGCATAACATCATTTGGCAGTAGAAAGCGGCACATATTCGCAGTCTGGTTGTCGTTTTTGGTAAAAGGCACCAAGTTGCTGTAAATGGGGTACGGAGTCATGATGGTAAACGAAAGGCACCAGGTAGCAGCAATCACCTTCAAAGCATGGGACTTCGTTTGCCAGACCCGGGACTGCAATGGTTTGCAAATCGCACCATATCTCTCTAGAGATATGGCCACCAGATTAAAGGTAGATACACTCACAGAGGTGCCTGGGAAAAGAACAAAGAAGCTGGTTGTGTTAGCTCTGAAATCCAAGGTTTATTTGCACATTAGCTTCAACATATCTGATCTGCACAGGTTTGATGTCAAAGGAAAACACTTGGAAGGTAAAGAAATATTGTGTATGTATATTTTTAAAAGACGATTTATTCTCAGCTGTGTTCCAGAAAGGGTTTAAGGCAGTTAAAGAAATGGATTTGTAAATAGATCCCATCGCCAATTTTTAATAAGTTTACTGAGATTTGATTCCACCTAACTCCTACTTGGGCTCAAGGTGCTCATTAATTAATAACCAAGGGGATGAAATTCATTCTTGTCCCCACGGAAGAGGTTTTCCTAAAATCTGAAAAGAAGCTCTAATGTCGAGTATGGTCTGCATAGTGAAGTTGACCTTAAAAACCCGAGATTCTCAAGGGCTCAGTGACCCTGAAAGGTCACTGTGATCTGAGCCAGAGGCATGAAGACCTTTTTCTGAAAATTTTGAGTACACACTGTTTTTAACAGTGAAATACTCTATATTTCAAAATGTAGCTTGTTGAAAAACATAAGTAGTAAAAAAGACAAGGGAAAATGCCCTATAACTAAAGGTGTCTCTGGGTAGGGACCAAAGTCTCCCGACTCATTGTTTTTGCTTTTCTGTATGTTGCAGACTGAGCAAGCATCACCATTACAGTGAGAAAGAGATCAAATAGACCTCATTTAAAATCATGTATTTCTTGGCTGGGTGCAGTGGTTCATGCCTATAATACCATCACTTTGGGAGTGTGAGGCAGGCAGATCACTTGAGGTCAGGAGTTTGAGACCAGCCTGGCCAACATGATGGTAAGTAGAGAAGGGGTTTTACCATCTCTACTTTAGTATCTCTAAAGTATATACATCTCTACTAAAAGTATAAAAATTAGCCTGGCATGGTTGCATGTGCCTGTAATCCCAGCTACTCGGGAGGCTGAGGCAGAAGAATCGCTGGAACCTGGGAGGCCAAGATTGCACCACTGCACTCCAGCCTGGGCAACAGAGCAACACTCCGTCTCAAAAATAAAATACATAAAATCATGTACTTCTTGGTCTTAGATGGACCATGGAAAAAAAATTAAAATAAAAAATAAATAAAATCATGTGCTTCAACATTGTCCAAAAGCTTAACTTTCATTATTTTTGTATTTGTGTATGCATACTTATTAAGATGTTCTATTATTCCCTTAAAATTCCCTGTAGAGTCCTTCCACTATAAATTCTGTCAATTCTGTGATTGATATGATTTCTTAAATGAAATGAAACCATGATTTCTTACGAAAACATAAAACCATGCTTCTTATCAAAACATGAAACTATGATTTCTTAAACCTCAGAATTCATATAAATTTGGGAGCAGAGGTCCTTAAACTGGGGTCCCTAGATTCTCATTATGCTTATAGATATAAACTAATTCTCTGAAGTGATATCCAAAAATGTCATTTTTCTAGGGAGCCTAGCTCTAGCTCTCCTTAGTCTTAAAGGAGTATGTGACCCCAAACCATTAACTAAACACTCATCTGGGGATAAGATTTGCCATGTTTTACTAAATTTGACCTGAAAGAGTTGATGACATTTAGAGTTGAGATATAGCCCCAAACCCTCTAAGGGTCATTTCTGCGTAATGGGTCCTCAATTCCTCAATAACTATAAATTCACTGGCAGGCAGGCATTCTTTTTGTTTTTGCTACAAATTAGGAGCTAATGAATGTTAATCGTTAGTATTGAGGAGTTTGCAAAATTAAGAGAAGAACCTAAATGATTGGAACTAGGAATCCAACAAAATCATTATGGTATTTCAAATACTTTCAGAATGATGTTGTTTTTCTTTTTTGGCAAATAATTTTTTTTGTGGAGTTGAAATTTACATAATGTAAAATTAAACATTTCAAACTTAACAATTCTGTGGCACTCACAATGTTTTGCCACCATGCAAACACTCATTTTAAATCTCCGTTCACATTCTCTGGTTAAGACTCCCAAATAGTATTACCGTAAGAAATATATAGATGGGCCTCGGACGTCTACAGCGCTAGTTGTTATTATTGCTTCATTTAACAATGATCATTTATGATGATCTTTTTCCTTTGTAAGTTTTTTTTGTTTGTTTGTTTTTAGAGGACTAGGTCATGAATTGATACATTCTTGGTTTTTGGTGGCACGAGCGTCAGTAATTCATCATCATTTTGTCAGCGCGGAATCCCACTTCCTCAATTGAGAAAAATGAAGACTTCTGAAGCTTTCTGGTCATTGAAGGCTGCCCTAGCCCAACTCAGTTCTGCATATTTTGCAAGCCTTGGGTCAGAACAAAAATTAATTCCCTTCTTATTTCCCACCTCTTCCCCTCTCCCAACTACTTCTCAGAAAGGGCAAGGGACAAGGCAATTTGGCATCAAGAGGGGACCAAGAAATGTGTTTTTGTTCAGCTTCAGGGCAACCACAGCGGTTGGCAAACTGAGGCAGCATGCTCACCACTGTGTAGCTATTAATCTGGGTTCGAATTGCAGCTCTGTTGCTCATCACCTGTGTGGTTTTAGGCACATTATGAATCTCTTTGTGCCTCTGTTTCCTCCCTAGTGAGACAAGGAAGAATCATTGCATTTACTTCATAGAGTGGTTGGGAAATAAAGTAAGATCTTTATCTGGGAGTAAAAGCACTTAGTATCACATCGGGTGCATAAAAGCTCTAAAAACATTAACTGTTATGATTTTCATTATCATCATTTTGATTGGCATAGTAGCTACATATCTCAGCCGATCAGAATCAGCTTACTGACTCCACACCCCCCAGGAACAAATTCAACTCCTCATCTACGGGCAGAGACCTCTCTCTCTCTCTCTCTCTCTCTCTCTCTCTCTCTCTCTCTCTCTCTCTCTCTCTCTCTCTCTCTCTCTTCCTCTCCGCCAGAGAATGTCCCAGCTTTTCGGAGAATGGGCTGGGAAGTGAATTCTGAGAAGAGAATCTGGAACTGTGATAGAACTGGTTTTCAAATAGTCCCCGTTCCCAAGAAAACAAGATAAACAATGACAAAGAACCCACCTCCATAATCCTCACCCTCCCTAGAAGCCAGGACTCAAGTTGGGTAGCGATCAGGACACAGTCAACAGCTTCCAGAAAGGGACAGGGCAGCCTTAAAGTCACTTTTGATTTCAAACAGAAGTAGGCAAGTCCCTGTTCCCTTCAAACAGAAGCAAGCATCAACCGCCTCTGTGTGTTTCCTATCAAATTATTTCACTCTTAGAAACTGACCTCTGACATGGATGATGGGGTCCGACTTGTGGGGAACGAGTAAGGATGACTGGCTGTCAAGCCAGCCCCAATGTCTTTGCACACAGCTGTGCACAGCCTGATGTTCTGTGTTCCAGCGCTCAGCAGGACTCCTCTGTTGTGACTGTCGGAGGTTTGGGAAGGTCTGGGGCTGAGTGGGGTCTGGAGCAAGCTCCAGAAAGAGTCACCAGCCATAACTTACCCATGAAGTAGGTGGTGGTCTTGCAAACGGCACTCCCGAAGATGAAATCCTTGAGCAGGTTGGGGATGAGGTTGAACGGCATGCAGAAGAGGCAGAGCATGAGGTCGCTGACAGCCAGGGAGAGGAGGAAGATGTTGGTGACCGTCCGCATCCGCTTGTTCCGAATCAGCACGGTGATGACCAGCGTGTTTCCCAGCACGCTGAGCAGGAATATCAAGGAGTACAAGAGAATCTGCACTGCTGGCTGCCACTCTGCAGAGAGTAACAGGAGCAAGACGGAGGGATGAAGGTGATGCGAGCGGAATGCTAAAACCAAAGCGAAGGGCAATTTCCTGCCGATTTCCCCCCAACCGGGGTACATCATTGGACCCACGATTCCTGTCCTGACAACATTTTGCAGAAAGAAACTGAGGAAAGCAGAGACTGAATTATTTTGTTCTTAGAAGGTTGGTTTGTTAAAGGATCACTCGGGTAATCACTTTTTCTTAAGAACAAAGCTTCTCAAGTGAACAGTGATCAGTTTCTTTCCTAGCTGCTAAGCATTATTTCGCTTTAATCACTTCACGCTGGGTTTCCCCCCAAGAAAAGGCAACAGCTGCGTGGTGACAGCGCCTTTTCTGCTGTGCTTGTAAGTTCAGGCTTTGACACTTGTACCCCCTCTTGCTTCACTCAGCTCTTCCTCCCGGCTTTTGTTCCCCCAAGTCCTATTCATGAACGCCTAACTCTCCCATGGGGGACAATAGGAATCTTTGACTCTATTCTGCTTTTTAATCTCTTCTGCAAACTTCTGAACATATGACTTTATCCAGCCTTGCCTCACAATGACTTTATTATATATGATTTTTATCAGCCTCGCCTTTGCTGATTTCTCCTGCAACTCAATAGTTTTCTGAATTAAAATAACAGCCTCCGACACTTACCTTTGGAAGGATGAGGCTGATCCAAACAGAAAAGCGTCTCATTTTCGAGCCCGAGTTCGCAGGGAGGAGAGATGTTGCTTCCATTCACAAGAAGGCTATCCACCACATCCATCCTTGCCTGCTGCTTTCCACCAAGTGCTGGAGAGCTGGTGAATTGCTCACTCCCGGCTCATTCCTCTAATGACCAGAGCGTCTCCCAAATGCAACCTGGCATGGAGGAGCAGGGAGGGAGGGATTTCCAGGTGTGGGCTTTTCCAGCCATTCCTAAAGGCGACTTGAGTTCACCATGCTCACTCCAGCTGGGCAAGCATTTGCCCTCCTGTTGTGGAAAAGGCAGTGTAAGCCAAGCCTGCTCCACCTTCACCCCCCACACCCCCACCCCACCCTCTCCTGGGCCAGTCTTAGGGCCCTGAGCACAGATAGCCTGGCTACAAGTTAACCCTTCTCAGAGTGTGGCTGCTTTTATACACACATGTGTACACATGCACAAACACACGCACATACACACACACGCTTCCCCAGTACTCCTCTATACCTGTTACCATCCCAGACGTATGCAGAAGAACCGGCTGTGTGAGACAGGAACAATTAACACGTAACAGATCCGATAATGCAGACCATCAGGCCTAAAGGACAGGAGGGACTGTGTTCTACCTCCTTATAGAAAAGCAATTAGTGCCTTTTTAGCTTTGGAACCATGCCCGGTGGTGTGTGTGTGGCCAGACTGCTGGGTGGTTGTTGTTACTTAACACGGTGTTATTTCTGTGGTCTCTGCCCTCGTTACCTAGGATTGAGGCACTTTTGAACACAGGTACCTGCATCCTTATTACAAAAAGGTTAATAAGGTTTCTTCTTCATTCATGAATTCATTCGTTCAGCATGTCTTCATTGAGATTCACTCATTGCCAGGCACTTTTCTAGCATGTCAGCAAATAATGAGCAAAATCTTTTCAGGTAGTAAGTACTACGAAGGAAGTAAAGCAGGGAGATGTGATGTATACAAACAGATTGGGGATGGGGATGCTGATTTTATCTAGGGGGACAGGGTCTTGTTCTGTCACCCAGGTTGCAGTGCAGTGGTGTCATCACGGCTGGCTGCAGCCTTGATCTCCCTGGCTCAAGCAATCCTCCTACCTTAGCCTCCTCAGTAGCTGGGACTACAGGCACACACCACTAAGCCCAGCTGATTTTTTTAGTTTTAGAAGAGAGGAGGTCTCGCTATGTTGCCCAGGCTGGTCTCAAGCTCCAGAACTCAAGCAATCCTTCTGCCTTGGCCTCCCAGTGTTGGGATTACAGGCTCGAGCTACTGTGCCCGGCCTGGGGCTGCTAATTTAGAAGGGGTGGTCAGGAGAGGCTTCTCAAGGCGGGGACTGTGATCTGAGACCTGAACCACAAGAAGGATGAAGTCAAGATTCAGGGGCAGCTTTTCCCAGGCAAAAGGAGGAGGATTTTTAGAAGCAGAAACAGCAAGTGCAAAGGTCCTGAGGTGGGAATGAGTGTGGCTTCACTGAGGTACAAATAGAAGCAGGAGTGAGTGAGGGGCAAACAGCAGGACATGAGATCAGAGCGGGGGGCCAGCTCAGAGGTCTGGGTGTTCCATGAGGCTCTGTGGTGCTGGAAAGACTCTCAACCCCCATTGCACAGATCACCTCCTCAGGTCAGACCCTTTGGAAAGCAGACGACAATGGCTGCAGAACCTGCGTTTCTGAGGCGCTGCTTGGCTGCACTGAGACTTGATCCTTTTGTAGATACCCGTGGGGCTCCTTGTATACTGACAATGCTTCCACTGGCAGAGCTGCATGCTACATCTTGCTGAGTCTCTGGCAGACACAGAGGAACTAACTGGCATTTTTACTGTCAATGTGGGGCTGAAAAGACAGTGGTGCCTCTTTTCTTTGAAGCCATGAAGACCACATGGTTGGGGGCACTTAGTCACAGAAACCAGAAGGGGAAGGGACATTGGAGAAGCTGTGGATGTCATTAGGAGGACAGACTTGGGATCAAATCCTGGCTTCACTGGTTATTTACTAGGAAATATTGGGCAAGTTTCTTTCTTTCTTCCTTTCTTTTCTTTCTCTTCCTTCCTTCTTCTCTTCTCTCTTTCTTTCCTTCCTTTCTTTCTTCCTTCCTTTCTTTCTTTTCTTTTCCTTTCTTTCTTCTTTCTTTCTTTCTTTTTTTCTTTCTTTCTTTCTTCCTCCCTCCCTCCCTCCCTCCCTTCTTTCCTTCCTTCCTTCCTTCCTTCCTTCCTTCCTTCCTTCCTTCCTTCCTTCTTTCCTTCCTTCCTTCCTTCCTTCCTTCCTTCCTTCCTTCCTTCCTTCCTTCCTTCCTTCCTTCCTTCCTTCCTTCCTTTTTTCTTGCTCTGTTGACCAGGCTGGAGTGCACTGGCATGATCTGGGCTCACTGCAAACTCCACCTCCCAATCACAAGCAACTGTTGTGCCTCAGCCTCCTGAGTAGCTAGAATTACAGGCATGCACCACCACACCTAACTAATTTTTGTATTTTTAGTAGAGATGGGTTTCCCCAAGTTCCTGACCTCAAGTGATCCACTTGCCTTGGCCTCCCAAAGTGCTGGGATTACAGGCGTGAGCCACTGTGCCCAGCTTGGGCAAGTTTCTTAACCTAAGACTCGTTTCCATTGGTCAAATGGGGTTCAAAATGATCTAATAGGTATCTGTTATGAAGATTGAATGATTAACTCTTCAAGATTGAGTGTCTGACATACAAAAGGTTCAATAAATCATAGCAGCAGTATTTATAGCCTTCATACAATAATGGCTATTTTCCTGTTACAAATGAGAAAGCTGAGGCTCCCAGTGGCCATGTGCTTTGCTGGTGAGAACCAGTGGTGGATTTCCCCTCCAGGACCCTGCAGACCCCATCCTCACACCACTTCCCATGGTGTGGAGCTTTGCATCCTTATTCTAGCATTGTGCAGCCTGTTTGGAGCCAGGGCTCTTGTCTCTACTCTTCCTTCCTGCCGTCAGTCCTTTTGGCTGAATCTTCCCTGTATACAGATGATGGACCCTGCTCACTGTGCATTGACCCAGAGCAGCTGTGTTCTGATGTGAGAAGGGATGAGCATCCAGGGTTTCGGCTGCTGCTTCAACTGCTCCAGCTGGGCAGACATCATCAGCCCTTCAGGGTGCCTCCTGCTGAGGCTGGTCAGGCCCATCAGCAGCTGCTTCAAAGGCTGGGGGTCAGTGGCTCTGTAGGTCCAAGAACTAGAATAGCAGAGGGCTGGACATTGACCTGCCCTGAACCAAAATGGAGCCCAATTTGGGACAAGTTCCTCCTTTCCCTTCCCTTCCCTTTCCCTTCTTCCTATTCTGTTTTCTCCCCCTGCTCATTGGTTGGCAGGAAGTGGGAGTGGGAGATGTGGTGGATGCTAGCAACTTGGTGAACTCACGGTTTGGGGAATGGCAGCATATTTGAGTATTATTTTGCACAGACTTTACTGCACAACTGAATTACCTGGGTTAGTGGTTTAGAAATGGTGATTTTGGCCAGGTGTGGTGACTCACACCTGTAATCCCAGCACTGTGAAAGGCCAAGGCAGGCGGATCACAAGGCCAGGAGCTTAAGACCAGTCTGGACAACATAATGAAATCCTGTCTCTACTAAAGATACAAAAAATTAGTCAGGCATGGTGACAGGTGCCTGTAATCCCAGGTACTCAGGAAGCTGAGGCAGGGGAATTGCTTGAACCCATGAGGCAGAGGTTGCAGTGAGCCAGGATTGCGCCATTGCACTCCAGCCCAGGTGACAGTATGAGACTGTGTTTCAAAAAAAAAAAAAAAAGGTTGTTTCCAGACTTTCCTCCCGGAGTTATGATCCCTCAGCCCTGACCCTGGAAATCTGCATTTTTATCCAGCATGCCTGGGAATTTGGAGATCACTTGTGAGGAAGGATCTCAGGGTCACTTGTGAGAAAGCTTCCTGGGAACCATTAAGAGGGCGAGGGGACATATCAGAAGGCAGAAATTGAAGCCTGATCTTCACCCCTGGCTGGCTGGGAAGCATGAACAAAGAAATTACTTAACTTTTCTGAATCTCAGCTTGCTCATCTGTAAAAGAGAGATAAAATAATGCTACTATAAATAAAACAATACATGGAGAGAACTCAGAACCATGCCTGGAACATAGTGCTGGATACGAATTGTTATTATTAATGGATAAGATTAATTCCAGGGAAGCTGTATTTATCCTGTTATCACAGCCAGATTAAAGGTTTGTATTAATATCTTCAATACCCTAGCCCAATATCTGGCATATAGTATGTGCTTGGTAAATATGCATAAATCTTGCTGTTTAGCAAGAATTAGAGGGGCCAATATTTCATTGCTTATTACACCCATTGATAACTCTGTTACATTGATTCCTTTTCTTGTCATCTCTGGATCTTTCACTTTGAATTTGTAAGCCCGTGTGATATGGTTTGGTTGTGTCCCCACCCAAATCTCACCTTGAATTGTAGTTCCCATAATTCCCACGCATGATGGGAGGGACTGGATGGGAGGTAATTGAATCATTGGAGTAGGTCTTTCCCTTGCTGTTCTTGTGATAGTGAATACGTCTCACAAGAGTTGATGGTTTTATAAAGGGGAGCTCCCCTCCATATGCTCTGCCTTGCCTGCCACCATGTAAGATGTGACTTTGCTCCTCATTTGCCTTCCACCATGATTGTGTGGCCTCCCCAGCCATGTGGAACTGTGAGTCCATTAAACCTCTTTCCTTTATAAATTACCCAGTCTTGGGTATGTCTTTATTAGCAGCATGAAAGCAGACAAATACACCATATTACCCAAGAGTTCAACTAAAGAAAAAAAGAGAATTGTAATGAAAGATTCCAATGCACTTTCAAGGGAAAAGCTGTTGCATTTCAAGAGTGTTAGCCCTTTTTTCACTCCTCAGCATACATTATGGTGAGTGCTTCGTAAGCACCAGGTGCTGTGTTTGGTGCTAGGAATTTTGTGAGCCAAGTGGATGAAATTTCTGTCCTCATGAAATTGCTGTCCACTGTGGGACACAGAAGATGAATAGCCTGGGCAAAGTGGAAATGCCTTCTCACCTTGGAGACCTACCCTGTGATTAGGCACAGGGTGAATTGATACAAATGGGCTAAAGTGAATTGGAATGGCATAAATGCCTTCCCTCTCTCCGAGGCACACACAGACATGCAGGGCATAAGCCCAGGTGCCTCCTGCAGTCCACAAAACCCTTTAAGTACTGGGGACTCTCTTCTCTGTCAAACCCTGCCCTAGAAGGAGAAGACTTGAGCAATCTCCCTGATTGCTTGATAATGGTTCCTGAATAATAACATTTTTAACTGTTCTACAG